GCAATTGATGTATGTATAGACTGTGATAAGAGTTGTATGAGCCCCTAATAAAACGATTAAACAAAAAATCTTAACAGCAAAAAAAAAAAAAAAAAGAGACCGACCCGCACTTGCATTTCCAAGGCTCCCTGTGCTGAGGGGCCCCTGATCCTCCTCTCGTGAAAGGAGCGCATGTGCTCTGGCCGCTGTCCTGCCAAGCCGGTGTTCCGGGCTTGCCTGTTGTCCCAGGGGGCGCTTCCAAGCTGGAGCTCCTTTATGGGAATGGATGCCACATCTTTCTCCCACAGCTGGGCCCGGGTAAAGCGCCCCAGTGAGAAGTGGGCAGGAGATTTGTAAACAAAAAATCTTAACAGCAAAAAAAAAAAAAAAAAGAGACCGACCCGCACTTGCATTTCCGAGGCTCCCTGTGCTGAGGGGCCCCTGATCCTCCTCTCATGAAAGGAGCGCATGTGCTCTGGCTGCTGTCCTGCCAAGCCGGTGTTCGGGGCTTGCCTGTTGTCCCAGGGGGCGCTTCCAAGCTGGAGCTCCTTTATGGGAATGGATGCCACATCTTTCTCCCACAGCCAGGCCCGGGTAAAGCGCCCCAGTGAGAAGTGGGCAGGAGATTTGTAAACGTGGCAGCAGCAGCAGCTAAGCCCTAAGCACCAACCTTTATGCTCTCGGCGGAGGGCTTAACCAGCGTGGCGGGACTGCAGCCGTTCTGGGTTGTGCGGACTTCCCCTCGAGGCCAGCCTTTGGTCCACCGTTCTAAGTTAATTTCTGATGTCAAGATATCTAGTATTTTCTTAAAAATGTCTTCCTTTTCCTTTATTTCAAGGACTTCTTGAATCCTAACTATACCTTCTAACTGGAAACACAGGTCTAACGTACTGAAAAGGCCTTCACCTGGGAAAGGCAGGCCACCCCAGGGAGCCTGCACACAGTGGTCCCGTGCCCATGCCACCCTGGAAAGGCCAAAGGCCCCTGCCACCACCGCAAGCCCACCACCACGTGCAGCCTGCCACGGCACACTGCAACGGCCAGCACACACGAAACCACACAAGGTAAGGACAAGCACACAGAACATGTGTCAGTGGTGCGTCCTGAGCCCCAAGTGGCCCAGCAGGGCTCACGGTGACACGGCCATTGCTGCCGGGGCGCTTGCGCCAGTGTTTTCATCACCTTGGCAACTTCTTTTTGAAATAAGCCTACCGCCCACCCTGTAATAGCTGAGCAGATTACTACACGTCTTCGTAAGACTTGGCAGTTGTATACAAAGGGGCTTCGAAAGGTATGAAAGAAGGGAATTAAGAGAATGAACCCCCCTCCGCACCCCAAATATCTTGAAAGCTCCTGGTATGACTCTGGTCGCTGGACAAAGGGACGTCTAGTCAGGCTGCCCCTACTGGTTCCAACACCACCCACGCGCTGTCCGAGTGGAGTCTAGAGAACCTGCAGGAAGGACAAAGAGCTGCCCCCGGGTCTGCGAGACTCACACTTACCCTGCCGCACCACGAGGGCCCCTCTGCAGCGCCACGCCCCTTCCGTTTCCCTCTCCAGAACGCTCCCCAGCGAACAAGGGCAGACTGCTGGCCTGCCAGCAGAACCTGCCCCGGCAACTGGGCTTTCTAGTGAGTGCCAGCCCCAGTGACGCCTGATCCAAATACATCTTACGACAGAGGAAAACGGGTCTTTGCTGAGTCCAGGGGCAGAGTAAGGCCCGCCCCGAGGGACTCCCCACTGGAGAAGCAGGCTGCAGCAGAGTGACAGCAGAGCCACAGGCTCCTCCTCCTCGGGACACGAGGGTGGTGCAGGCCATGGAGGGAGGGGCCATGGCTTCCATCTCACAGGCCCACTCTTACGGAGACTCAGAACACACGTGGTCTCATTGGGGAGGGGGGATACCTCTACTCCTCCCTTAGAAATGGGCCAAGACCTGTCCTGCTGGCCCTTCTTTTTCAGACCAGCTGCCCTCAGCCCCGACCTGCTCCCATCTAATGCACATAGCTCCAGCGCACGGTGCTGCTCTGGGCCCGTTTCCGACAATGTACCTGTGTATCTCACCAGCGTGCGTCCCGTCGATATCTCCCAGAGTTTGGCCACAGAGTCCTTGCCGCTGGAGAGGATGTACTTGGAATTTTTGGAAAAAATGGCAGAACACACTTCGGCGCCATCGTGTGCCTTTTCGAAGGTGGTGATGCAGCGGTTCGACACGCCATCCCACAACTTGATGCAGCCGTCCTTGCTGCCTGTAACGTACATGTTGGCACTCGGGTTGTAGCTCACGGAGCAGATGGCGTCGGTGTGCTGGTCTTGGGGGTTACAGGAGACGAAACACTGGAACGTGTTGATGTCGTACAGACGTAAGGTCGGGTGCTGAGTCCCCACGAGAATAAAGTCCCCGGAGGGGTGAAAGGAGATGGAGCGCAGCATTTCCGCCTCCTGCAGGACAGATGTGGCCAGAGGTGATCCACTGCTCAGGGAAAACGGTGGTCTAGCAGGAAGGACATATGGGTGGGCGTGCATGCGTGGAAGAAACAAAGGGCGCCCTTGTGTAAATCAACCTTACTTTTTCAACAGGGATCTGGGACACCTCACTCGTACTGGTGAGCTCGCTGCCCAAGCCCCAGCTGAAGCACTCACCACCGGCAGGCGGGCAGCGGTGCTGCTAAGCGCCTAACCACCAATGAAGCATTCACGCCAGAGTGCTGAGGGAGATGGCACTGGTGTGCCGTGCCACTGCTCCTTGGATTTGCCCGGTCTCCAAACACTGAGCCCAAGATTACCCTTGACTGTAAAACCCCCCCTCCCAACCCCTACCCCGAAGACCCACAGCAAACCTCAGCCACTGTAGCGACTCCACAGGACAGAGTACCAGCACCCCACAGGGTTTCCAGGCTGTGATCCACACAGAAGCAGATGGCTTCCTCTCATTCACGCTAAGGCAGCGGTCCTCAACCTGGGTCATGACCCTTTACGGGGGTCAAACGACCCTTTCACAGGGATCGCTTAAGACCATCGGAAAACACCTATTTCTGATGGTCTTAAAAACCGAGATACCGCATCCGTCTCCAGGCGGGTCCACCCACATGCAGATACACCCATGTAAGAGTACCTGGCGTGATAACATCATCGCGCCACCCCATCACATACACCCTATACAAATACAGGTGTATGTGACAGGATTGGCACCATAATGTACTTATGTGGACCAGTCACACATGTGTAGAGAGCAGCTACTGTGTAGAGAGCAGCAGTATTCGAGGTAAAACGACACTTCATGAATTATAGTTACTGGGTAAATGTAAAATCCTGTACTGTAAAATCAACTACTGCAGAAAAAAAATATATCTGTACCATAGGAACTTAATCTGGATGCTGATCAGTCTTTTTATATTCAGCTGTTGCTATGTTCAATTTGTAACAATGAAAACACATCCTGCATATCAGATACTTACATGATTCATAACAGTAGGAAAATTACAGTTATGAAGTAGCAACAAAAATAATTTTATGGTTAGGGGTCACCACAACACGAGGAACTGAATTAAAGGGTTGCAACATTAGGAAGGTTGAGAACCACTGCTCTAAGGGATTGGTGGGTTTCAAACCGCCGACTGTACAGTAAGCAGCTGAGGGCTTAACCAAGGGGCTTCCAGGGCTCCTTTCAGAAAATGCATAAGAAATTAAACTCAGTTATTAAAGTAGACACCGTCACTCAAACATTAGCCACTCTGACTATATTCAAAATAGAGAAGTAAATGCTTGTCCGATAAACAGTGGTTTGGACCGAGTAACTGCTGGATTCTGACAAGCTGGACCTCACTGAGACGGGCTGCTTTGCTTTTAAATGGAATCCACCACCTTTTAAAAGTGAGGTGGATGCTGACCCCTGCCCTGCTGCAA